TAATACCTACCCTTCAAGAGTAATAGAAAAACTTACTAAAAAAATGACTAAGCAAATATGAAAGGTGAGTAATACTGTAATTACCTTGAACTACTGACATTTACAGAACTCTGTACACAAAAATGCACACATAGCAGTCACATGCAAGACAAAATACAAGTGCCAGTGAGTATCAAAAGACTGAAGATGTACAGAGTATTTTCTATGACAACAATGGAAGGAGATTAGAAATCAAGAGCAATAAGATACCTAGAATATTCCCAAGTATTTAGAAATTAACAATGTATTTCTAAATATGAAATGAAATTAAGGATAGCAACATAAATCCTAAAGGCAATAAAAGGAAATATGAAGTTTAAGCCAATAAATTTGGTTAAAGACACAAATTCCATGAGAAACACAAATGAGCAAAACTGACAGAAAAAAAACAAAAAATCTGAATACCCTGATTATATGAAAGAAGTTGGATTCATTATCAAAATCTTCACACAAGAAAACTGTAGGTTCAGATAATTCCCCTAGTGAATTTTATCAAATACTGAGGGAAAAAATAATATAAACTAACTCAAAAGAAACAGAAAAGTGGACATTTTCTTAAAAAAACAAAAAATCTGAATACCCTGATTATATGAAAGAAGTTGGATTCATTATCAAAATCTTCACACAAGAAAACTGTAGGTTCAGATAATTCCCCTAGTGAATTTTATCAAATACTGAGGGAAAAAATAATATAAACTAACTCAAAAGAAACAGAAAAGTGGACATTTTCTAATACATTTTAAAAGTATAACCCTGATAACAAAACCTGACAAAGACAGTATAGAGAAGTACAATCAATATCCCTCATGAACATAGATGTAAAATTCCTCAACAAAATACTAGCAAATTAAATTCAACTACATATAAAAAGGGTAACATATCATGACCAAGTGGGGTTTATCCCAGGAATGAAAGGTTGGTTTAACACTTGAAAATCCATCAGTGTTATCCACTATATAAACAAAATGAAAGACTGAAAAATATGATCACCTCAAATGATACAGAAAAGGCATTTAACCAATTCATAAAGAAAACACTCAGCTAATTAGGCAAAGAAATTTCCTCAGTATAATAAAAGGTACATAGAAAAAAACCCTGTAACTAATGTCATACTTAATGGTGAAATACTGAGTATCTCCCCTCTAAGATTACATAGGAAAGTGGTCCTTAATTCTTTTCAACACTGTATGGTACTTCAAACAGGTGCAATAAGGCAAGCCAATGACTGGAAAGGAAAAGTAACACTTCCTTTATTCACAGATGTCATGATGGTTTACACAAAAATCAAAAGGAATATACTAAATAACTATAGAAATAAGTATACTAAATAGCTATTAGAAATACCTATGTGTGGTAGGAATTGACTGGAAGGAGGCACAAGAAAATTTTCTGAGGTGTTGGGAATGGTTCTCTATTTTAATTCAAGTAGTTAAACCAGTGCAAGTATTTACAAAAATTTATTGAACCATATACTTAAGATTTTTGCATTAGGCTCAGTTTTATTTTGAATGAAACATATTCTGTTAACAAGATGTCATTAAGAGATTGAAAATGCAAATGACAGAGGAAATCCATTTGAATTTGTATATCTAACACCACAACAAAAACTATACGCCCCAAAATATTACAGAGCTATAATAAATCAGTAAGAAAAAGACAACTAAATAAAAACCTGGGTACATGACTTGAATGGGCATGTCTCTTGAGAATATCCAAATGCCCAATAAACATAAACAGTACTCAACATCACTGGCATTAGAGAAATACAAATTAAAAACACAGTGAGATACTATTACAGAGCCACATGACTGGCCAAAGTAAGACTGACAATGGAAACTGTTATGTAATGTGAAACAAATGAAACTGTCCAACATTCCTGATAAGGGTGTAAAATGCTATAACCTCTGTGGAAACATGTTTGGCATTCCTACCAAAGCCAATAAAGCTAAACCTGCTTAAATATTTCATTTTCATTTCATTTCCATGATTATCTAGCTTGGGTAAAGTCACATAACAGTGAACATCATTTCAATGATGGAAGACCAGGTACATGTTAGATAGAACTACAGAATGTACAACTTGCTGAATGTTAAAAACAAAACAATTTTGCTTTAAGCGCTCTGGTATTATATTTGAAAACAATACCATATTTCACAAACTTAACTTGATTTGATATTAATAGCAAATGAACTGGCATTGATATTCCTGATTATGTTTTATTTCACTGTTTTATTTTATTCAATAAATAAAACCAGACCTAATTAAGGATGCGGGTTTGAGATGTAATATTCTACAATTTAAATTCTATTTATAGTTACTTATATCTATATAGGTATGTATTTTTTTCCTGAAAATTTGTGAAAAGTTCTTGAGTTGCAGAATAGGAAATGGCAAATTTACTGAATTGTGAGGTTTTTATTTCTTCATTTTAGGAATATTGGAAACAGTGAAAAAGGAAGTGAAACTTGACAACTCCATGCTTACAAGATTAAATTTGAGGCTGAAAAGGCTTTTGAAGGCAAGTGGAATTTTGTTTTTAATGTTTCTGACTTAGAGTAATTAAGTCTAAAAATAAAGGAAACCTAGTACATAAAGACCTGTTCTTAGGCGCAATCTCGACTTCTTTTCGTATTGATTCAAAAACAATGATGCCATTCATACTTTAATTGCCTCAGATATTTGTTTTTCTAAAATATAAGCAGTTGACTACACTGCAACATTATTTTTTCTTCCTAAAGGAGAACAAAGATACTGATCATCCAGTATGTGTGAGACGGAGATAAAACTTAAAGGAGGGTTTCTCTGCCTAGGTGCCTTTGAAATTTTGGGGTGGGATAACTGCTGGGGGGGCCATCCTGTTCAGTGGGGGACATTTAACAGCATCCTGGCCACCTCCCACTAGAAGCCAATAGCTTCTCAGGCTGCCCCTCCTGCCAGCTGTAACGACCAAGAAATGTCCCCCAACACATTGCCAAAGGTCCCTGAGGGAGAATCATCCCTGTTTGACAACAAATGATTTAAATCAATTCATCATTTGAAAAAAATCTTACTAGTTCAAGAACTGTAACTCATGGGAAATTAAAGTACAAATGGTGATTTGGTCTGTGACAGTAGCCCCCAAAGTAATGCAAATGGATGTAAATGGAATGTTCTCTTTTAAGTTTAAAACTACACTGTCCAAGAGTAGTCCCTCACCAATATAGCTTTAGAGCATTTAAAAATGTAGCTAGTACAACTGAGACACTTTAACTTAATCAGCATCTAAATTGACATGTGCTGTACATGCAGAATACACACAAGCTTTCAAAGATCTAGAATAAACAAAAGAATGTGAAATATCACTTTGATAATTTTATATTGATTACTTGTTGAAATGATAATATTTTGGATACAATGGGTTAAATAAAATATTAAAATTAATTTTACTGGTGTCCTTTTTCTTTTTAATGTGGTGCCAAGAAAATTTAAATTTGCATAGTGTGTATTACATTGGCATGGTTCAAAATATTTGATGATCTGTCCAAATAGCTATTGAGTATGAAAACACAAAAAGTTACTATGAATTCAGTGAAGTATGTCAATGATTTTTATATTTAACTAAATCACAACAGTATCCAAAAATAACAGCTTAGCACACATGGGGACTTTGGATCTCAGAAACAACTCTGGGCTAAAGTTTGAGATACAGTGGTCTAGAATTCCTATCACAATTGGTGATGACATGACATTCGTAACCTAGAAAATATTAATTTCTAGAATCATGTTTCCTATGATCTTCCATTCAATTTTATCAGATAATGACAATTATATGTAGGCTGAAATAACTTATCTTTCCTACCCCTATAGGAAGACCACTGTCTTTCACCTCTCCACTTCACTAACTCTAAACACCAATAGCAAATAACAAGCTTTTTGACATTTTCAAAGACATTCAACTCACAGCACAAAAATAACCCATTGGTCATTAGGTCTTTTACCTAAACTCCCGAACTACTAAACTCCTCTAGAATAATATTAAAAATAATCACTTTTTGAAAAGTCTTAAATCTTGCAACAAAATTATCATTTTTATTGTTCCACTTGTTTCAGTTCTATCAAATGCGGTAAGCAGAATGCTAGTGCATATATAGACGTCCTTAAAGTTCTGGTTCTAATTGTCCTTAAACTAAGTTAATAGAAAAATAAAGCAAAGCATTTGCATGAGCACACAGTGTGCTTAATAAGAATAAATCAAGAACAGATAATGGGAAATCAAATTGGGCTGGAGAGCTCAGCACATTATTTCACTTACACAAATAAGTATTTGCAAACCCTAATTTTAAGTATGTGTTCAGAATAAAAGATCATGCAGATACTAATTTTATAATTATAAAAGAGCAGTTTAACTTCACAAACATACCAATCTCATAATTGCACATTTTGTTAAACACATCTACAGGTTGTATAATTAAATGTATTTATTAAGTAGTCAGTTCCATATTCCTATTCTGCTTTACTGATTCAAAAGCTTTTAATGTTATTTCAGAATCCTTTTAATTGCAAAGAATACCACAAAACTCTTTTCCAGAGATTATGAACTCTGGCTCAACTCAATGATTAGAAAGCTTATGCTCTTAATTAAGAGTTACTAGTGTCTTTTTTTGTGGCAAACAAGGGGTAAAAGAGAGTTTGAAAGATGAGCAATCTGCAGGCCAGAGAAAGCAGAACTCTGTAGGTCACACCAGAGACAGTTTAAGATAGGAGCTTTAGGGAATGCTTCACAAAGATGGAATATATTACTCACCTAGCAAAACTCAGCACAACAGTGTAATTGCAAAAAAAAACGAGTTCTTAAAAAAGTACCCCAATTTAAAATATTTAAAATACACATTTAAGCTTAAATAACATCTAGCTGATACATCTGTCTCTATATATTTTGTGCCACAGAGTAATAGTGAGCAGTGAGATAAATTACTGCATACCTGGGAGGAGCCGTTGGATAAATAATTTTTATGTGTTGGAATGTTAAATCTTGATTTAAAACCTGCTTGATCCACATTTTCAATCCTTGTCCAGAATCACCTGATGAATCACAAAACCTAGATTAAGATAAAACACTCTGACAAACAGTGTATTTAAAAGCAGTCTGTAAATTTCATGTCACACAGAGGCTGGAATAGGAATAAAAAAAAAGTTCCATACATAGAAGTTACTGTATAGAAATTGGTTTATCAATATTAATTGATGGGCATAAATAGCTAGGAATAATTTTGATTATTTTACTACAAACCATTGATCACTTTAAAGACCTTGTTTAAAGTTGAACTCGTTTGTTTAATAATAAATTTTTTCCTATATCCAATTTTTAAACACTCATTTCTTACCTTTTTCTTAAAAACAGTAAATCTCTTAAGTGCTTACAAACTTTCTTAGTTAAAATAATAAACTCTTTAAAGAAGGGGTGTTCAGCATACTTTAATTTTCATTTCAAGAAATTAGAATTTACTTTTGGTAACATGTTTACATGACCTGAAATAATGATTACACATCCCAAGGCTGAAAAATAATGAAGATTCATGCAAGAATTAATAGTATTAAGTATTTAGTATGTGTATTTCTACTAAAGGAGTGGAAGGAAATCCAGGTCCATTTTATGTAGTCCTAAAGAAGAAAATTCTAAAGGTAACAAACATTAGTTTAATAAATCAATTCATTAAGACATCAATCCAAAAAATACCTATTGATACCTATTAATGTGGTAGGCACTGTGGTCACAGCTAGAAAGGAAGTGATGGGAAGGTGAGAGGGAAGAGGCCCTGCTCTCATGGAGTATATAGATTATTGTGAGAAATAGATATTCATCAAATAATCACATACATAAACATAAAAGACAAATGTGACCACTGCAAAGGCGAGACACTGGTACCGCAAGGGTTTACTGTATTCAGAATTGACCTAGTGAAGGAGTTCAGGGATAACTTCATTAGACTGTAAGCTCTGCAAGGCAAGGTTCCTCTTGCTTTTTATTCAGAGCTGTTCATTTAATGCCCAGCACAAGACTTGACACATCCCTGGGCATCTGATAGACAGCTGCTGAATGGGTTGAACTAAAATGTATGGGATGGTGAAAAGCAAAGTGCAGAAGAAAAGAGCATCTCAGGTGGGCTATGGCAAATGTTAAGACCCTTTACAGGGAGGAACAGTGTGTCATCTGAGAATGAGCGGAAGAGCAGTGAGTGCAAGATGAGGCTAGAGAGACTGCAGGGCTTTATTCATCCTGAGCATGGAGGCACTTGTGGCAAAAAGGCAGCATGTTCTAAGGATCACGGTGGAAGCTGTGTGAAGACAGAAGTGAAGGACAAAAGCAGTTGTGGAGGGGTCCATTAGGAGGCTCCTGTTCAGGTGAGAGATGCTTAAACTAGGGCGACAGCAATGGAGTGTATACTCCACTAGATAATAGAGATATTGAGATACTAGAAATAGACAATTAACAGAAATTGGCAATAATGAGTTATGATGAGTCAGTGGTAAAAGGTCTCAAGGATGATGACGAAGTTTTCAGCCAGGACAACTGGGTGAACAAGAGTACTACGCATGGACACAGGAAACACACGAAGCAGCAGGTCTATACATGTTGAATGTGAGGTATTTTTATAAGGTAAACAAGGTCCTGTAACAGAGATTGAGCAAACTGTAGCCGGCGGGAGGACAAAATCCAAGTCCTTACGAGTCATAAACACTGGTTTTTACATTTTCAAAGAGTCATGCCCGAAAAATAAAGAAAAAGGAGAAAAGTTTAAGAGGCCATATGTGGCCCACAGTGCCTAAAATGGTCATTATCTGAAGCTTTAGAGAAAAAGTTTGCTAACCCCTGTCCCACATTACCTTGATGGCAGTACCGTTTTGAGTATCCTACCATACAAGTACACTAATTGGAGTACTATTCCTTGAATGTCAGGGAACCTTCCCCGGGGCCTTGTCCTGGCTTTTCTCTTACCTGAAAGTCTATCCCAATGTTCACAAGATTCACTCACTGAAATCTAGCTGCTGAAATGTCACCTTCACAGTGAGGCCTACTCTAACATTATTTAAAATTATAATCCCCTATACTTCCCATCCTCCTTACCATGCTTTCTTTTTTCCCTCATTTCCACTACAATGTAAGCTCCATGAAAGCTGGGATTTTGTTTTGTTCATTGCTATATGCCCAGAGTCTAGAACAGTGCCTTGCACAGTGGCCATGAAATTGACATTTCTTGAATGAATGTTTATTAGGCAGTTGGATAAACATGTCTAGAGCTTAAGAGACCTAAAATGCAGACAGCTGTATATAGGTAAAAATATGGGCTTGTGTGGAGGTTAGCCTGGAGCGAAAAACGTAGACTGACAATAAACCATAGCACAAGATGTCAAGGAACTCCAACAATATGGCCAGGTAGACGAAAATGAGTATGCAAAAAAGCCCCAAAACAAAACAGAAGGAGCAATCAGAGGTAGAATGAACCAGGAGAGTGTTTCAAGAAGGGAGCTGAATGCTGCTGACAGTTCAAGGACGACTGAAAAATGTCCATGCACTTAGCAACATAGAAGTTAGTGGTGATTTTAGTTAAGAGCCGACTCAGTCAATCCACTGAGACTTCCTATATGAGGAGAAAGCAAGATGTGCATGGTGTAGGCCTGCATGAACCTTGCAGTTTAATGTGGAATAGAGATTAAATTAGGTAATCACAAGTATGATGAATACCACTGAAGAATCATAGTGCCCTAAAGGAGCTTATACAGAGTGGATTAATCTAACCTGGGAGGCCAAACAAAGCTCATTCAACTACCATTTGTTTTCATCATCCTGAAACAAGGTACTTCTCTGGTATTTTCGAAGTAGGAAAGGCTCAAATTAATTTGGCTATACATATAACTTACATTTCAGTATGTTCCTCTATGGCTGCCATATCCTAGAAGATAATCTCAAGCTTTTAAGATTTAAAAGAAAGAAAAAATATCTGCCTCTCCAAACACTTTTTCAACCCTGAAAAGCAAAACTGAATGCTACAAAACATAGATGCATGGTTTCACAAAGTCCATTATTCTAAAAGCCAGCACCTTATTCCAAGAGTATGTCAAACTATTAAAATTGGTTTGTCCACATTTGGATTAACCAGAAGCCAAAGGTCTCCTATAATGTAACCACATATATTTAAGTCTAATATAAAATCATACTCTCTGTTTTATTTACTGCAATGGTACTCAACACATAAGAATTGGATTATACTTGCATAAAATTGGCAGAATTCTTTGGATAAATTCTTTGTTCAAAGTACAAAGGGAAAATATATAATGTGCAACCCTGGGTTTCAGAGACATATCGTTACAAATTATAAAAATTTGAGTGATTTGAAATTAAAAAGAGTAAAGGTAACTTTAAGCCAAGTGGTCCAGCAATAAAAGAATTAGTCTAGCAGTATTTCCTACAGATACTGTGAAATAATTATCTTATTTATTAAAAGGCTTATCTCACTGGGGAATTTCTGGGTGCTTATAAATCAACACCCTTGGGGCCCCAAACAGTCCTAGTAATGGTCTCCTAGTTGTAAAACATTGCAGTCACCTTACACTCCTCACCTTCTAAATACATTTTACTACTCACGTCTTTCCCTGTAAACATCTTTGTCCCTTTCCAATCTATTTCCACAATGATACATCCTAGTTCAGAGGTTCATTTTATCCCTCCAGAGCCGATTTTGAAATCTGAGAGATCTGGGTTCAAATCCCAGTTTCACCATCACTCAAGGTAATTAAGCCAAGTAACCTCGGCAAGCTGTTTAACCTATTGGGACTCGTTTTCAAAATGGTAATACTGCCCACAATTGTCCATTTCCAGGTCTCCCCCTGTACCTTTCCAATCTCCTCCACTGTCCAGTCACCAACCTCTTTGGGCCTATGCAAGTCTCAGCTCAAAGCCCACTTTCTCTGTCAAATGTGACAAGCTCTTCATCTTCCAACTGCCTTAATAATGCCTAACCACAATTTTTTCCTTACAATTCACTTGGCAGTAAATCAGGCACCATCTTGTGATCTCCCATCCACTGCTGACTCAAACTAATTGAATTGTTTTTGTTTTTTAACTTTAGGTAGGCCCCCGAGGACACCGGCTGCATCTCATTTCTTTAAAAAGCATTTCTCAAGAACTTACCCTGGGCCAAGTACTAGGCATGCAAACATTAAAACAAAGGCCCTTACTCTTGAGGAAGGGGAAGTGAAGTCAGCAAGGCAGACCTAAGTAATTACAAATGAGCATAAGAAACGCTACCCAGAATTAAGCAGTTACTAATGGCAGGCGGTTGGAGGAGAGTGTCTGGGACTTTGTGCTGTACCTTCGGGGCTTAAAAACAGGACGGAGAAAGAAGGAAGGGGGAGCAAGGGAGGAAAGGGAGAAAGACACTCTAGTCCTGGCACAGGGCTTCACAGCAAGGAGATAATAAACATTAAGTTAACTGAGTCTTAATTGTCTGTATTAGCAATGGGAGACAGGAAAAACAACGGCCAATTAATCCAGCGAGGGTGAAAATGCAAATCGCTGATAGCTGACCCTGAAAAGTACAAAGTAATTTATCTGTCTCTAACAGAGGGTTTACTTTACTAATCTGCTCTGTTTAAACTGAGGGGAGACGGATTGGGGAGCGCAAAGGTTGCAATGCGGAGAATATTATGGATGGACAGGCCGAGGGCAGAGTCACGAGGGCCAGGAACGAGGACGGTGGGCCAATCACCGCACCATAGGGAAAAGGAAGACATTGGGGAGGCAGCTGGGGACAGGTTACCAGGGCCCTGTGTCCCCGGCCGCGGAGCGGGCGCGGGGACGCCCCAGCGCCTCCTCCACTAGGGCACACTGGGGACACGGAGGGGAGGACATTTCCAGGCTGCAGAAAAACCTGCACAGAAAACTGTAATCCACCTGAGCCGTGCAAGAAGATCAGAGAGGCGCTGTGCCTCCCAGCCGGCGACGTCACGCAGCGCTGCACGCGAACTGGACCCGACGCAGCCGCCATCGCCGCCGCCACCTCGGGAGTCCCGCGGGCCCGCGCACGTACACGCAGGGGGCGCGCCTGGGAGCACGCATGCGCGGCGAGGCTGACGCGGTCCAGCCGCCGGGCCCAGCGTGAGGCAGTTCCAGAGGTTCTGACTGAATTTGCCTGTCTTGAGGGGTATTAATTGAGATGATAGTTTCGGTAAGGCGGATGGATGTGTTTTTTTGCTGAAGGATTTTTAACCTCAGTCATGAATCTATCCTCAGGATAGAAGAAAGGAAGAGAATGGGGGTCGGGGGGGTCTGGGGACAGGTTTGCCTTTTTATTTGAATAGTGTTGTTATGTTTAAAATTTTAACAGATATAACCATACAACCATATTCTACTTTGGGACTTGGGCAGCACGTTTTGTAACTTTTCATATACAGAATAAGACAACCGTATAATAATAACTCCTTGTGTAGTTTTTAAAAATAGTTTACAAAGCAAATCCAAAGTGCCATGTCACATCCATTAATATGGCTATTATTGAGAAATCAGAAAAAAATAAATGTTGGTGATGTGGAGAAATTGGAATCCTTGTGCATTGCTGATGGGAATGTAAAATAGTACATCAAATGTGGAAACAGTGTGGAGATTCCTCAAAATGTTAAACAATTAAATGATTTGGCAATTCTATGTCTAGGTATATATGCAAAAGAAATGAAAGCGGGGACTCAAATAGATACTTGTACACCAGTACTCACTGCAACATTATTCACAATAGCCAGAAGGTAGTAACAACCCAAGGATTCATCAATGGCTCAATGGAAAACAAAATGTGGTCTTGCCAATGGGTTTCAGCCCAGGCAAGTTCACTATGGATTCATGTAATGTTCTTGGGGTGAAAGGGTTTATCACCTGGCTTGTTCTCCCAGCAATAGGTCCAGCACTAGAATTGCGTCTGCATCCAATGGTCTACACTTTGTAGACTCTGCCTCTGTCCAGAGCACTGGGCAGAGCTCTTTATATAGTGACCCAGTCAATAATAGCTAATTGCCGACAGGTGTGGAAGTGGTAGCCTAGCAACAGGCCGGTCACATCATCAAGTAGTTTAGGTTCAGGTGAGGATCCTGGCCATAGGAACCTTCATTTTATCCACAATACATATGGTGGGATACCATTCAGCCTCAAAAAGAAATGAGCTTCTGATTCATACTACAAAACAGATGAACCCTAGGTAAAATAAGCCAGACATAAAAGGACAAATATTCCAATTGTATGAGCTGTTTAGCACAGACAAATTCATAAAGACATAAAGGTAGAACAGTGGGTTACCAAGGGCTGAAGGTGGGGGATGGAGAGATACTGTTTAATGGCTACAAAGTTTCTGTTTGGATGATGAAATTCTGGAAATAGTGCTGAAGGTTGTACAACATTATGAATGTATTTAATGTTACTGAACTATACTTTTAAAGTTAGTCAAAGTGGCAAATTTAATGTTATGTATTTTTACCACAATTTAAAAAATACCAAAAAAAAAAAGGAACTGTTCTATATGAAGACCTTAACCATAGACATCTTTTAATACCAATGACTGTTGCCCCATTAGGCTACTCTTTCTTCATACAGAATTCAATAAACAACCCAGTAGAACTTTAAGTGCCATTAAGTATCAGTCCTCCATTCATTGCAGTCTGCATTGTATTTAAGGAATTAGAATTTATCTTTTATTTGTTCAGGGTAATCACCCTGCTCCCAAGTGACTAAACAGCTTATTGATGGTAACAGTCCTATATGCCATTAGTTAACCGGATCAAAAAGAACCTCTGAGTCATTTCACCACAGCCTATATAGATCTGCAGTTGAGAATACTTGAGAATGAAGTTATTAAGGAAGACAGACTGGGGTGGGCTGAACTCTGACTACCAATTCTCAAAAAAAAAAAATACTTCTATCTCTAGACCTGCTTTCTCCACATGAATTATCAATAACTTTCAAGAGCCAGGTGAGAAGAGGTCAGTTCATATCACTTGGAGACATGCCAGGTAAGGCTTTCAGTTCTGCTCTTAGAACTCCCATTTACTGCCAGAAAATCTTTCTTTGCACTCCTCCATGCTTTTGAGACAGCAACAAGCTGAAACACAATTAATAGTTATGATTATTATTATTGCTAATAATAATAAACAGCTGAAATTCACTGGGACTTTTTAGGTACCAAGCACTGTTATTAGTAAATTCTCACAATACTCTTTACTATTACTGTTTTTGCCAATGAGACTCAGAGAGGTAAGGGATTTGGCTCAAGGTCATACTTAACAGTCATTTGTTGAGCTTGGACTTACATGTTTGGGCCTATCTGACTCCAGAGCCCAGGTCCTTACTTACTAAAGCTCACAAGAATAAGGTGGGACATGTTCCAACTATTTTACTAAAAACAACAAACAAACAAATAAATAAGTAAAATATTTCAGGGATTTGGATTGAAGCCCTTTAGGATCTCTACTAAGATTACTTGCTAAGTGTTGCTGTGTTTCTCCATCAGATTTCCCCAAGTCTCCTGATATTTGTTCCTGGTTTGCTCCTCCACTGGAGTGATCAACAGCCTGAGCAGGTAGATGAGCAGTGGCTGAAGGCTGGGATTCTGAATTTTACCTGTATCTTGAGCCTTCCCAGATTCAGAATCATTATTAGAATAAGCTAGTTTCTTCCAAACTTAATCAAAGCCCTCTTTTATTTGCAATGATTTAAATGCTTAGCTATTGTTGCTATTCCTTTCATCTTATTTATATAACAAACAGGAGGTTTTAGATGACTATATTTAGAAATGCCATCTGGTTGGCAAACATTGAACAAAAATGTTTTGTTCCTTTCATGTAACTGTATTACTTTGATATGTAATTAAGTTTCAGGATGGTTGCTTACTTCTTTTATGGTGGGTCTTTTGCTTTATTGAACTTGCGGATAAATTATCTCTTGAAGAGTTTTATTCATACATCCTTTTACTTTTTGTGTCTCTCCTAGTTTTTTTTATTGTTACTCATTTGCTTTCAGCTTATCTATATGCCCATCTTTGATGCACCCCCTTTTGGTAACTGAAATCTCTATGGCAAGCAAAGAAGATAAGCAAAATAAAAAAAGAAAATCTCCCTTCTTTCAGGGTTTCTCTATTTGTTTAGAAATCATTTAGGGCACACCCCTACAAAATGATTGAAAGATTAGTCATTTAGAGTAGTATATTTGGCATTTCTATATTATTATGGTTAAATGAAATGACATTAGTTACACAGACAGTACAGTTAATGCATTTGTTATTTTCCTCATTCTTGAGCATCAAATTGTATCCTCTCCATTGGTTGGTTTTATCTGTTGAATTTCTTAAAAGGATAGAGAAACATACATAAATAATGCATACTCACTGGAAAAAATGTCTCAGCATTAGGTAATTTTTAAACTTTTGAAAGTTCCTTTACATATCCCCCTTACCTGTATGTGAAAGAAAAACTAGAAGAAACTTAGAGTTCTTAAATTCTTATAAAAGAGTAAAACTAAACTCTTTTCAAAGAAATGGCTATATGAGATTATAAACTTGAATATAGCCATTGCCTCGGTTCTAGGGACTTTAAACTAGAAGTCCTTCTAGAGACAGATGTGGGGAGTACCCTTACTTTATTCCAGTACTCCTACTAGGTATGCATGGTATAGATGGTTACTTTTTAGAGCAGATGGTCACCTAGGGCATTGTGAGCTAGACTGAGGCAGCATTGGTCAGAGGGGGCATAGAGGAACACATATGTTACTCAAATACAATCTTGGAGCATGGATAGATATTGCTTCTGCTGGACTTTAACAGTCACAATAATTCACCCCAAAGCAGTGTATAGGCCTTTGGCAAGGACAATGGAAATTCCTCCCTTGAACATAGGCTGGGTGGTCAATGTGTATACCTTGCATTTTCACATTACTCTTGCTTAGAAAAGGGATCTTCTCCCTTTTGAGCACCTCCCATGACCAGTCCTCACATTTCCAAGCTACTCTATGGAAGCACTTCTTATTCCATTTCCTCTAGGTTCTTGTATCAGCCTTGGGAACCCCACTATTGATCTTCATATTTGCCTATCTACTCTAGAATCCATTCTTTGCTCTTCTAAAGCAGATCTTGATGGCTCTCCAAACTCAGGGCAAGAATTATTAACAACTCCGACCCAGATCCTGTTCCCCTGAGGGCAGAGAAGTTTTAATCTTCATACCATCCCATGAGCTAAGGGGAAGCTGTTACATTCCATACATCTGTTACAGAGAAAATAAAGAAAACAAAAAAAGTAACTTACCTGTACATACAGTCTGAACATCTATATTCTGCCATACTCATTTAAGAGAAGAGGAAATAAATATGTAATCATAATACCATGCTATGAGAAGAATCTTGATATGATAGTAAGGAAGTCCCACCTATAGGAATAATAGGCTGTGTGACACTGGACAGGCTTTTTAGTCTTTTGGGACCAGTTTCCCCAATTGTGAAATATGGGAGTAAAGCTTGATAAGCTCTTAAATTCTATGATTCTAGGATAATGAAATGGTTTAGCTTTTATAAACATATCTCTGATATTTAATTCTGCTCATAAAGTTATGGTTCAAAAACTTAAAGAACTGTACTGCACAAACTCCTATGTAGTGGTATCAGAAAGATCAACAAATATAATTCCCCTCATTCTTTGTGTGGTTGCCTTTAGCACCCTTATGCTGTCTCCCTATTCTTTCCTTGGTGGTTTCTAAAAGCCAGGAGAAAAAATAATGAGTTAAAAAGGATTGTTAAAACAATAACCTGATAATACAAAATCAATCTTTGCAATTTAAAAACAAGTGAAATTTACTCTGAAGTGGACTATTTTCAGGATGTATATATATGTGCGTGTGTGTTGTGTGTGTGTATATATGTGTATGTGTTTATCTATCTATATCATTGACCAATGGAAAATATTTTATATAAAGGTATGACAGTGATTTTCTGTTGTCAAAGCTGTATTCTATTAAGAAAATAAAGAAGCTTTGTCAAAATCTCTAATTCATATTCTAAGGGAAAATATCATTTTTTTCTTATACTTTTAGAGAATTTACTTTCTTATAAAATGCTGGCAAAATATCAGTCTTTAAGACCAAATTTTCTTTATATAGGCTAAAATTGGATGCAGGTGTGTATATCTAAAATAACTGAAAACAAGGTCTTGAGATATTTGTGCACCCATGTTTATAGTAGTACTATTTATGATAACCAAGAGATGGAAAGCAACTCAAATGTCCACCAAGAGATCCACTGATAGACAAAGTATGGCATGTACATTCAATGGAATATTACTCTGCTTTTAAAAGGAAGGAAATCCTGTCATATGGTGCAACATGAATAATCCTGAGATAATTATGCTGAGTGACTGTTTTCATTTGTATGTATTTGTTCCATTTGCTTTCATAGAGGTTACCAGAGTAAAAGAATGTAAGTGAAAAGAATAGTGTTTAAAATCTGAAAACCCACACACAATTCCAAACTAATTATAGGCAAAATTGTCAGTGTTCTGTGGTGGAAGGTGAGATAAATTTGAGGTACCAAATCTAAAAGTGAATACTTGTCCTGCTGGCTCTGTAATGTAATAAGTTGTAGTTTTCTGGGGGGCAAAAACTATATAATTTATATTTGTAGCCTCCTCAAATAAGTAAAACAGTATCACAAGTATTACATACTAGAATAAATTATGGTTTTAATTGAGGTACACTTTGAAGAAAAAAAGCGAATGAAGAGTTGAACTCTACAGTCCTTCAGATATCTATTTGTTATCTGGGCATGTTGGCAGTAGCTAGGAAGAGCTAGAGAGATGGACCAAGGCCAGGACCTGGAGGAAGCAGACAAGGCCAAGGTCAGGATTACAATGTTAGGACTGGTTTCCAGGTTTACTTGGTAAGCAGAACTTTTTGAAAAACACAGAGTCCATTGCCAAGAAATCTTGTAGTGAACACCACACATAACTGGGACATGACCCTGAGTCAAAAGAAGAACTAGATCATAAAGGACAAGGAAAAGAAAGGAGCCATAATCTAGGAAGGCTTGTTGCTTAAAATGTAGCATGTGTAGTTGGAGCACAGCAGTCAGCTAGTGCGTGATGGAAGGGTGTTGTCCTATGGCTAGGTGTTCAACTGGTGGTAGTTCACGGTCTCCTTGAAGATTCCGCTTAAAGTATGGACCATTTAAAGGTATAGGGCCACCAATGCGCGCGTGTGCACGCGCGCGCACACACACACACACACACACACACACACACACACACTATTTTGGATGCTCTTTAGAGGTTTTCTGAACCCACCAAAGGACTCCCTAGAAATGTGTGCATCTCAAATGTGACTACCCCACCCTGCCCCATACTTTTATATTTTTGAGAGCAACATAAAATTGATGGCTATAGATTCACTATAATTCCCAACAACAAAGTTTGTGAGAGGCCCTGTGCTTTAAATCCTCAACTAAACCAAAGCAACACTATTCATCTGGTGCCAGGTACCGTATTGTCCAGCTTAGTTGGTAGAAGAAACATAACTAACTTCCATAGTGATTGTCTCTGCAAGTTTTGTGTTATATGTCCCATCAGTGTAAAAGTTTTTAATATGTATCTTGTATATGCATGTTTATTTATAAATTATATGATTACACTATTTAGTAATATGGGCATACAAACATAAACAAAAGTAGAAATTTAAAATCATGGGATGTAAATAAGATATAAACAAGTTTTAGTATTTCTACATTCCAAAGGACTGTCTTATCTTGTATATTTTGAGTAAAATGACCCTATTTAGAACACTGTTTTTTAGAATGATTCTTGCAAATACAAACATGAAAACAAGTGAATGAGGTCATCTTTATAGGGATGCCTCATTTTAAGAAAACATATAGATCCCAAAATCTACATTTACCGGGTAAATTAAATATGGTATCATTTATATTTCAGTGAGTGTCTATTTCTGACCTTTTTGAAGACAAACTGGATTTTTTCCATCTTAACATTCCCATTGCCTAGACTACCTAAAATAATTGACAGAGTTGCTTTTTTTCTTAAAGCTTCTTCTACATGTAATGTAAGGTTTGATTTTATAAAACCCATTTTCAAAAAACTCTTCAGGAACACCTGTCCTTATGTCCCCTGTTTATCTCTGGAGACAGCCAGTCTTGGGTTCTGTTCTCTTCATCATGTTGTACACAGAAATTCTCCAAATGTGCTGCGCTGCCTCCTGGCCCTTTGCCTCTGCCCATTCTGATCTCTCAGCCAGGAGCAGCTCTTCCTATCTATTCCTTCACTTGCCTATTCTTTGAAACTCAAGTCTTAACTTCTCTTCCCTTGATTAGTCTTTACTGAGCTCAAATTCCCTTTGTATCTGTACCTACAGCAAGCACAGCCACCATTAACATAGTATTTGCACATTTGGCCTTTTACTTCTCTGGCTTTCCCACTCTCAACTTCCATACTGTGGGCCTAAAAAACACTATCAACAAAAAGAAAGAACTTTGATTTAATGTTGCCACTGGGCTAAGTTCTTTCCAATTATTTTTTCACCTGAAACCTGCAGGTGTGTGTATGTGTTGTGTGTGTATAGAAAGAATTTTTGCTTAATTTTTCTTCCATATTCTACACTAGTTTATATCTGCATGGTCATTAAAGAATGCATAATAGACAAAGAATGTTAAAAAATATCATGAACTACAGTTCTGTCCATAGAAAAGGAACAAGAGACAATTAAGCAATCTACTCAATAATTTACATTAAAAAAAATAAACACTTACCATCATCTTTTGGAATCTAAACTGACTCAACTTCTTGCTTCAATTTGCACCAATAACAGCCTTTGAAAAACTGTTTATCTGGATAGTTTATTTCTCTCTTCTAATAATTCGTATATCCTTCTTACAGCATTGAAGTGTAAATGAAAAAAACATTAAATTTTGTTTATGAAGACAAGTGGGTCGACTCTAATAAAAATATTGATTCATGTCTTGCTTCTCAGTGAGAAATGCCACCCATGAACTCTGCTGGCACTTGCTAATAATAATATCATTTCAAGAAAGCCAGAAAAAGTACATACCTTCACTTGCAAAAGTGTGAATTATTTATTTTTCTTAACAAAAAATGTGAAGTGCATCAATGTTCAACTTTAGCTGAAAAACATGTTCAACAGCAAAGTTTTACTCAGACGAGGTAAACATCAAAAGGGCTTGTTATATCTTAACATAGACTGTAAGAATGTATATCCCTCTCTGTAGAGCACAGACATAAAGTTTAAAATAAAAACAAATTTAGAGGATTAAAAGATGAATAATAATCTTCTTTCATTAAATCGGTTATTTCTTTAAAAGAAAAAAAAAGAAAGAGTGGATTCACATATGCCACATAGATTTAAATCTTCCTCTTCCCCACAAAAAGGTATCCTATTTATGTAAGTTTTTTACATTGTGCAGGTGGAGTTGATAGGCAAAAAAATATGTTTCATGGTTATTAAAATCATCACATATACTAATAATTTTCCTCTCTTACCCTTCTCATAAGAGAATAGTTCTGTTCAGTCATATAGTTAACATCTGGAAGCCACTTGGGGTAATAACTTCCACCAATTTGTTTCTTATTCAGAAAAGATATGCTGGAATGGAAGTAGAGAAGGCAGATTCCATATATCCTTTGATAACGCATATATAGACTCAAATCTCACCATTGTCTTCAAGCTATTCAGTAGACAAGTGAAAATATTAAACTATCAGTATGTTCTTTGTCTTATAACAAATTTCCAGAAAACATGAAAATGCACTGCAAATGAAATACCTTGATTATTTCAGTTCACAGAAGACATGATTTGCATTTTTGACCTGTGCCCCTGGCCATAAACACAAGGTACATGCATTTTTTCCAAGTTGTATAAAGCATCAACTTTCCCTTATAACATCATTAAGAGGACTTGTTCATTTCTGAGAAAGGGGAAAAAAAAGAAAAAGAAAAATTGAGCATGATATTAAAAGTTCAGCCATATTCTCTAATCAACAGCAGCCATTTCTTAACTATGTTCCACAGATCTCTAAAGCATTTCTAATAGGGTCGACTCAGGAAACTTCTCTAGGGATTTCATTTAAAATATTCATATGGGCGTTTAAAAAAAAAAGCACACAAATAGTATAAAGAACCAAGGTGCTTTTTTTTTTTTTCCCTTTTAAACAGGGCTCTATATCACAAGTTAGAAAAAAAAAAAACAAACCTGGCTGTTCTTACATTGAAAGGTTCTGCTGATCAGGGCGATCATTTTGGAATCTGAAGTTTAAAATGAAGCCCTTTGAAGAGAGTTCTTTAATTTGCGGCTGTGGCTGTTGTTCTCAGAAGTAGTCCTTGTTTATAATTATTGTCTTTTTTGACCAATGTTTGACTAAGTCCTTTCCTCCAAAGAGGTCACATTCCACATTTCTGCATTCCAAGTTATTCTGCTGAAGTTTCTTGCCCACCTCTCGTGTTATTTGAAGAAGTACTTTATTGCCTCCCTAAGAGTGCTTCTGTCTGGCCTTGCTATTTGCAGTTGATTCACTGACGCTTACTAAGTCTTTTGGTGATTTGGTGCCTAGCTGGTGAAGCTGTATGGGGATGGCCATCATTTTAATTCAAATGGATGAAAAAAATCCCATTGTAAATGATACAAAGTCAGTGATTACTCACATATCCAGATCTCTCATGGCAATGTCAATTTATCCAGTATTCACCACTTCCTAAATGTGAACAGTCTCTTAAAAAAATTACAATAATCCTCTCTTCCATAGTGAAATCTGGAATCAATTTAGCTTTTCAAATGTAGAAATACAGTAAACTGCCTTCACATTGTTAGTCATCCTAAATGTTCAATTGGATACCAAAAATCTAGTAACTATTACCTGAGGATTGATAATAGAAACTTTTCATTAAACTTAAGTGAGTTAATTAAAATGTTAATAGCACTGGTAGATTGCCATCTGTATCCTGACAATACAACAAAGAAAATTGGCAAGTCTGTATTCTTAAAGGACTTAGGTTCCCTTTCTGTAGCTCAGAGTATAGCAGCAGGGTGATGAGAAAAAAAAGATACATTTTAAAACTATCTGCTTAATAGTAGAGTCTACTCCAATTAACCAAAATCCTTCTTGTTTCTATCATTTTTGTGTATGTAATGGTAAACTAAGTAGCAACTCAGTAGTAGTAACACAGAGTAATGATAATGACAGGGAATAGATTTGTTCCTGGAAATCATCTACCATTTGCAGAATTTGCATTTGTTTGTGGGGAACATACTACAGTGAATTTTTTAATTAAATTATGGAACTTAAACATAGTAATATGACTCAGCTCATGTAATTGTAGTATTCAATTGTGTCCTATAAAATAACTTTAAATACTTTTGGGGATTTGAAAAAGGTTACCTTTCAGTGGCTTCTTCATGTAATTCCACATTTTAAAGCCTATAATCAAAATTCTCTTATTTCATCCTATGATTTGTTAATTGGTACATAATTTAGACCACTCAAATGGTAGTTCTTCTGAAAGTTAGACATGTTTTTAGTTTTCTCAATTAGTACTTATATTTTTGTCTATACTTACTATTGTAGTAAGTATTATCTTATACTATGAGTACTTGATTACATATTGGTTGTGTCCATTGCAGACATTTATTCAACCAAATGATAGAGTGTCCATAATGCCCTATGCTTAATACTGTTGGTAAGTGAAACATATATCAGACTTTGGTCCTACCCTTAATGAATTTACATTCAGTAGGGAGGCAAGAGGTGTACATATCTACAATATAAGGTAAATATTAATAATAGGAAGGTTACTCCTATAGGAAGGTTATACAGTTTTAACATGTTCAGAGGAGAGAGAATTTTTTTCTAGCTATGGAAAATGAGGCATATGTAGAATAAACAATCACAGTTATCCAAATATTATAATTGATAATTCCCAGGCACTGGACTGTCACAATACTTAGAAGCCTTAGGATAGGGCCTTGAGCTGTGCTGTCTTCTTTTCACTGAAGTTCAACACTGAAGGAATATACCTTGACCGTGTACCCTTTTGACTCTTTTCTTCCTTACCTTGTTGTCTTGGCTCCATCAAGTTGATTTCTAGCCCCTAAATATAGGTTTTTTTTTTTCTCATGATACATTTGGGATATCTTGCCGTGATGGTATAGCTCTCATGATTTAGTAAGCCTATGCGACTTGGACATGGTAAACCTGCAGTAGATGTTTGCTGATTGAGTGTTGAATGAATGGCTAGTGAGTGAGAGAGCATAAGTGAATGGCCGTCAGCTAGGAAACAAACCCGGCTGAGAAAAACAGCTGTATCCATCATGCTTATATTATTTAACGTAAATTACACAAGAGCCCTTAGCATCCCTCTTTGAACTGTCTGATAGTTACTCAATAAATATTTGTTTAACATAATGTTCCTCAAAGTCCTCAGCTGTGCATTCATAGTGTAGAGCATTTAATTGGGAACGCTCAGTCCCCTTATAAAAGGGATAATCCTGTTTCACTACTGAATAAATAGATCTTTATGCAGTGTTCCCAACAGCTTTCCTAGAAATGACCCCTTTGAGGTTCAAAAAGGAACAAAAAGTGATTAGATTTTATAAATGTTATGCCACTTCTTGGTACATACAGTATTCAATAAAAGAAAAACCCACAAGACAATTCTGTTTGCCTCATGGGTCTAATACTCTAAAGTCTCGTTCTTACAGCATCTATGTTTTGGCATTGTTTGTCAAACATGGGGTGGAGGTGAAAGTATTATTTTTGCCAGTTTATGTGATGCCATAAAGCAGCATTTTTCATTTTTCAACACTTATTAGCTCAGCTCCCCAGCTGTGTAGCACCACGCCCTGGTGTGAAATTGAGAGGGGGAACTCTGACAAGTTTATATTGGCTTAAATTTATAGCTTTTGTTTTGGGTGGGGGAAGGGTTTTTTTTTTTAAGGACATTATAATCGTGTGATTTTGTAATCACAAAACCTCTATAACACAGAATACTAGCTTATGAGAATGATTATCAGTATATCATGTTTGGCTTCCCTAAACAAATATTAACGACTATGTAATTAGAGGAAAAATGAAGCAGGAAGTTAATTAATTAGTTAAGGAAGTTATGACCCAGTTAATCTAAGTATTTTTATATCCTGAAACATATATATAGCCCAGTGTCTTGCATGCCAAATATGCTCAAAATTGTAAGCCAATAGAGAAAAATGCAAACTCAAACTCTATTAAATAGTTGGATTTTAGTGTTGTTATTCACATAACACTTCAAATCTTTAGTTCCCTTGTTTTCTGCAGAGCAATTTCAGAAAGGCAAAATTAAACTGATTTCACAGAAGGTTTGGTATGGCCAGCAGGAGATGGGTTAAAGCGATTACTGTATCATGATGTAGCACATTAAAATGAAATGATTGACTACAAGCTAAAATTTTTAAGATAAACAGACTTAATCCTTGGCTGCTTCTTTCCTGCTCTCACACACGCCCCAACACATGACAAACAAGGCGGAGAGTCTTAAAGCATTTTCTAAAATCCATCTTGAAGAGACAAGTACAAGAAAACTCAAATAAAGCTTTTTATATTTATGTTGTGTGGAAGGCTTAAAAGTCAACAGAAAATTAGGCTTTCAGTCTTCTGCTAAGTAATGCTTTACACTGGAAGGTAGGATGGAAGAGGAACCTTTACAAATCTTAAACAAGGTTGGAAAAATATGCTCATATTGTCCCAGCCATGGTGAAAAGGGAAACCCACACATTGTTTGCATGTGTAAAGTGCAAAGTAATCATTGTAAATCCTCTAAAATAATCCTGAGAATCCAGGGCCATCTTCAGTTAGGTGAGTTCTTTTAATCCTCAAAATCTTATTCCAGATGAAAAGCCAGGACACTGGACATTTCAGCAGGCATTTTGAAAAGTGACATTAATTTTTATGTCAAGTGAAAAGACTATTCTATAGAAATAAGTGAAACATCTTTAAGAGAGCTCCCTGAAGCCCAAGTTCCATCTTTTAACCATGGCTGTGAGGTTCAAGGGCACTGCGGCAGAAGGCAAATAAGGCTGGTTTGTAGCCACTAACATGGAGAGACCCATTTTTGGAGCAGGGAGAACTGCATCTGGAAAGAGGAATAAATGATTTCACACACAATACCTGGTACTTTGAACCATAGAGGAAAATAGGAGCCATCTCTCAAATAAAAAAAAAACATGGGGAAACATTTATATACCAGTCTTCTCAACCAGTCTTTATTTGTAGACCATATTTTAGCATGGGGAGACACAAAGGACAGGCTAACTTTTAGAAAAAGTCAGAGTTGACTCTCTCTTTTTTTTTTCTAGGTAGAAGAGTGACCAGGTCATTTGTGTAACAAGCTAGCTCTGGCAACAAAGAGAGAACTTTAGGGAAGATGTATTGGGCAGATTGAAAGAGGGTGTAAGGAGACCTCTACTTTCATTGGAAGTCTTTTTGAACAGAACTAGGGGCAGACAAGGCTTACCTGAATTTAAGCTATGATTTTTCAAGATGAGGGTGAAGGCAGGTTGGAAAGGTGAACTGGATTAGGCCTTGGTTACCCACTAGATTTGGAGATAAGATATTGGAAATAGTCTAAAATTACTATACTCACGTGTCCCAGTAAAGCAATCAACAAAGATTAACCAAATACAGAGGAAGGAGCAAGTGTAGAGTGAAGACAAGTTCAGCTTTTCACAGGTTATTGAGGTGCTGAGAGAATGGTGGTTGCTAGAAATAGTGGTCTAAAGCTTAGATTGGATAGGGAGGTAACTCTTGGGAATCACTGGCATGTAGGCATCAGATAAAGCCATAGGAATTGAAGAAGGCATTTTGACAGGTAATAGCGGTAGGAGGAAAGAAGAACCCAGGAATAATTTTTTTAAAGATGCAGATTTAAAGGCTAGCCCACGGAAGAGAAAACAATGAAATATTCCCAGGAGGAATCATAAGATAGAAGGAAATATGCTAGAATGTCATGAAAGAGGTGTAGATAATAATCGTGGGAGCCTTATGAAGATGAAAGGAGGCCATTAGGTTTGGCAGGTGGGAGGGAAAAGACTAACAAAATTATTTTTCTTCAGTTTTATAAAGATATAAGCGGCATGCAGTACTATATAAGTTTCACGTGTATAGCATAATGATATATATATTGTGACAGTAAGTTTAGTTAACATCCATCATCACATATAGATATGAAAGGTGTTTTATTCTTGTGATGAGAGCTTTTAATATTTACTTACAGCAGTTTTTAAATATATCATATAGCAGTGTTCACTATAGTCATCTTGTTGTACATTATGTCCCCAGTACTTATCTGTCTTATAACTAGACATTTGTACCTTTTGACCACCTTCATCCAGTTCTCCTATCCCCCAGGCCTCACTTCTGGTAGTCACAAATCTGATCAATATTTTGATGAGGTTTTTTTTGCTTTTAGGTGCCACATGTAAGTGAGATCACACCGTATTTGTCTTTCTCTAACTTATGTCACTTAATACCCTCCAGGTCCATCCATTTTGTCATAAATGCAGGATCTCCTACTTTTATACATCTGAGTAGTATTCCATTGTGTGTGTGTGTGTGTGTGTGTGCGTGAGAGAGAGAGAGAGAGAGAGAGAGAGAGAGAGGGAGAGAGAGCAGATCCACTACAGTAGTGGGGCTCAGACTGCAATGGCTCAAGTTGGGGATTTAGAGTAAAAAAGTGAACAGAGCAACTGTAGTCTATTCTTTTAAAATGTTTATTTGTAAAACCAAGAAGGAGACAGGGCTGAAAAGAAAGGGATACTCTTAAATATGGGGGTGAATTGAGCATATTATGAATTTACAAGAGAAGTCAAGGGAGAAGAAGAACCAGAACAAAGACTTGAACAAGAACTCAAAGGAGATGTAAGGGGAAGGGAGCCAATACTTCCAAGACAAGGAAGAAATCCAGGCAAATCTGAATGTGAAGAGAGTGAAGATGAGCAAGATTATGCCTTCTAATGGCCATTTTCTAAGAATGGAAGGAACAGAAGAAAAGATTAAGGACTTGAGAAGATTTATAAAGGCTTAAAGAAAAAGGAAGCTGAGTAAGAATGGGGAAGAGTTGCTAAGTATCATAAATACATAAGCAACATTTAAAGGAGCTAGTTTACAGTTACTGGATTTGTACCAATCATTACTGAAAAGGAACAGAAGACATAATCAATTTATTGATCTTGTTTTGGAGATAGCAAGACAGAAGGTCAAGGCGAGGTGGGACTACGAATCAGACTGATGAAAATGTAGTGCCCTATAACTATGTAGGGAAAGAATTAAATCTAGAAAGGGCAAGTAGACTGGAAATACGAGGAGAGGATAAAGCTTGCAGGTCTCTGATAGAGTCTCTGAGCCAATTTGGTGAGAAAGAGGGAATGAGAGAGTGAGAAAGGTGGAAGGACAGGAAGTTACCTAAAATAAAGACCACTGAGGGTTATTTCAGGGTGGAATGTTATTGTGCATAGTATAATAGTATGAGAAGACTCCTTGAGGAGCAGGACTGAGAAGGGTCTTTCACAATTGGTGGAGTTTTAACAGTGGGGAAGAAGGAGGACATTCCATGCCCAAAGTCAAAGAACTGGAGTCAGGCTGAGAGAGGAATCAGGAGGTGCAGGGGAGGGGGAGGTCTAGCTGTAAAGGAAGCAGTGTGAACACCGATCTGTTTGGAACAGTAGCTGTACTGGAATTTCCAAGAAAACAGATATATAGATAAATAGATTTTCTATAATTATAATTATAAATATATAATTATATTTATAAATCTATAAATATATAATAATATAAATATATATTATATAAATATATAAATATAATAATATAAATATATAAATATATTATATAAATATATTATATAATATATATAATAAATTATAAATAAATCTATAAATAATATAGATATCTATATATATAGATATCTATATATCTATAAAATAGATATATAGATAAATAGATAAACAGATATATAGATAAACTGAGCTACATTCTAGAGGGTTTTGGAAGCCCATTACCAGATTCATGCTTTAATCTGGTGAACAATTGGGAACTGTAACAAAATATTCAGCAGTAGAATGCCATGGACAAAAAACTGTTTTAGACACACATACCTGGAGGAAGACAGTGCAAGAGATTCCAGAGGGGAGGTGTCTATGCCCAGACATCTAGAAGGCACAGGTGACAGCAGGTGGGAGGTCTGAAAGCTGGAGCAGCAGCATTAATGGAGACGGCTTCCGTTAAGAGATGAAAGGGTATGATGACAAAGTAGATGCAGGAAACATACAGAAGGAAGAGCTAATGTGGTTAAAGTTTTCAGGCAAGAAAACCAGAAAATAATCTTACAACTGAGGGATGTGGGGAAACTGGAAAGGAGGGAAAGTGTCAGGGTGGGGAGAGATGCATGTGTAAGAAGTGGGCTTTTCACCTGAGACCCTCCCCTATGCTTCTTGTTTGTGCTGTGAAAAAATAAATTTCCTATGAAACCAAAGGCTTCAAAAGCTTGTAAACAGAGTTATTATCATGCTATTTTCTTTATTAAAACTGACATGTAACCTGGAGGTCTACTGTTGAGAGATGCCAGTAGCAGGCATCCACCTGACATGAAGAAGCCAGAAGCTGGATGGCTCCTTTCATCACTTGAAGCAAAGACTTCTGGTGAACAGGCTGCTAATGATGGCTAGGTTCCAATTAGAAAACCTTTAAGGTAGGATAATATGAAAAGGACTGTTTAATCACACCTCAATTTTTTTCAGTCACAGCTGCATATGAGTAGCAGACACCATGCTGGGTGCATTACCTTTGACTGCAAAGCATAAAATTTTTACAGGTTTTTTCCCCTCTATTAAGTTAAAATTTGGAATCTCTTCTATGTTTCATTTGGGTAATAATCCAGGACAAAATAGTCAAAGTGCACAAATGGACCCAGTTAAAATATGTTTAAAAAAAATCATCTTTGATGGCCCTCCTCATTTAGGTTGTGGAAAATGTGAATTAATGAATATTTTAGATGAACATTACTCTGTAATAAGGTTTAAAACTGGGCTAGATAAATCAGTAGTAACCAGGAGTGAAGAAAATATCTCTTGAAATGGTTGTTTGATGGCAGAAATATGACAGTATTTTATTATATTTTTGGAATTTGCTTTTTTCTAAAATATTTCCTTTGTTTATTTTTGTAGAATGTGCCTTTTAAGATCATGCTGTTTTATAATTATGTGGAAGCATGCTACACCAGGAGAAAAAAATCTCTTGACTGTAAGTAGAATTTTGTTCTCATTATTGGACCATCAAATGTGGAAATAAATGTTGCTACCAGTGGTTTGTGTTTCCTGCATGTGAAGTGGGATGAACATAATTTTCTTCCCCTGTAGAGTATGGTTTACAGCATTTTTAATTTAGTACTATATCTAGAAATCTCTGCTTCTTCAGTGGATTCTAAAGTCACTGAAATGGCTTTTCTAAATCTTTATAGAATAAGCAGTAGGAGTGGTGTATTCATTCCCTAGGGCTGTCATAACACATTATCACAAACTGGGTTGCTTAAAAAGACAAGTTTATATTCTTTCACAGGTCTGAAAGCCAGAAGTCTGAAATTAAAGTGTCGGCAGAGCCATCATCCCTCCTAAGGCTCTAGGGACGGATTCTTCCTTGATTCTTCCAGCTTCTGGTGACTCCTGGCAATCCTTGGTGTCACTGGGTTTGCATGGCATTACTCCAGTCTCTGCCTCTGTCTGCGCATGGCAGTTTTCCCTATATCTTTGTCTTCACTGTGTTTTTGAGTCTCTGGGCCCAAGGATCCCTCTCTTTTCTTTCACAAGGACCCCAGTCTTTAGATTCCATGTCCACTTTAAATCCAGGATGATTTTATCTCAAAGTCTTTCACTAATTACATCGTAATAATGATCCTATTTCCACATAAAGTAACATTCTGAGGTTCTGGATAGACAGGGATTTGGGGAGGACCATATTCAACCAACTACAAGTGGTAATAATAATGTCTCAGGCTTGCATTATTCAGTGTCTTGAGAATTGTCAGCCAAACCAGCTGTGGAGGGAAGGGCCTGCTGGGATGAGCAGCCAAAAACTTGGAGGCCTCAGGATATAGCACAGGAAGTAATCTGGCAGTGGAGCCATCCCCTGGGTCTTTCAAGTTCCATGGTAGAATTATTGAATGGACCCGCATCAGGATCCTGGACCTTGTACAAGTTTTCCAAGGTCTTCTGACTCTTCTCTACGTGGGAACATCATCAGCAAGTTCTGCTTTGATATCTAAACCTAATTCACCACATTATAGACTTGAATAAAGAAGGGGTAAAATAAGAGGTGGGAAAACCAGTTTAGCCATTTACTAAGGCTGTCGTTTGCTTCTTAACACATATTTGCTAACAGCCTCTTAGACCTGTGTAAAATGTGTTTCTTCTCTGAGCCTCACAGATACTGGTGAGGTAGGTGGGTAAAGTGGGATTCAGAGACTTGGGAGAAAACACGTTGCTCATCAGTGCCTTCAGTAAGTGTTTTGTTAGCCTGTGTTTGGTTCCAGCTTCTTGCTAAGAGGTCTCTAAATGAGAAACAGAGTCAAGGTGTACTGACCACTGGTCTAGTGCTATTCGTTTATAGCATACGTTATGCAACAGTGGTCATTAAGTGGGCTTCCTGGTGCCATATTCTCAGTTCCTCCATTACCTCTCTGAGCCTTGGATATTTCACATGTAAAATGGGAATAATAATAGAAATTTCTTAATAGGTCTGTGGTTAAGATTAAATCATTTTATACAAGTGGAGTATTTAGAATAGTGCCTGGCACATAGCAAATGTTTAATAATGTTCAATTATTATTACTTCTATACATAATGCACTTAAGTTAACAAGTGTGTATATAATACTTAACCTCAGGGCGATCATTATTTTTAATACTAACATACTTGCATGGTGACAATTTGCAAGAATCCTCATAGGATCTGTTTAAACCCCTTCAATTTATTCAACATGGTAACAGGCTAGAAAAATAGACTTGAGAGAAGTTAGGTGACTTGTTTAGGTACACAAAGTTAATGGCAGAGTTCCATACCCAAATCTAGGTCATCGGAACACACCTTATATGTTACAAGAGAGGGAAAAACTGTGGTGGATATTCAGTAACTCTATCCCAGGCTTCAGTGATATGGAAAATTAGACTGGAAAACATCCTTTGCAGTGGAAAATATGCTGATTTAAAGCTCATAAAACTTGCATTTCAGCCTTTTCTCTGCCACTTGAGCTAGAAAATGATGTCCATGCTTTTGTGAAATATACTTACTATTAATGAGATGAATCCTCATTCCTCAAATCCATGTGATGTATTTCAAATGGTAGAGCTCTGAGCTGTAACATGCAAATCCTTCTTCATCTGCTGAGTTTGTATTTCCTGGAAAACTACAGAGCCTGGCAAACATGTTTGCCTAATGTGTTGATTGCCATGTGTCTGGTAGATGTTTCCACGCACTATTGCTGATATAAAAGGAATGGGACTTTTAAATGTTGATACTTTGAAAATGTAATATGATTGGACTTGGATAGGTGCCTGAAGTACACCATCCATCATATTTATTGCTGCCAAACAAGTCAGACAAATTCAGTTGAAAGGCTTTGCACTTTCTTGGTAATGAATAATTCACATTTCATTTAAATGCATGCTGAGTTACACTGAAATATTCCCCTGTATCAATTTTGTGTTTAGGATTTGCTTTAAAAAAAATCATCCTACCTTGTTGAATAAAAAGGGAATCCAATATTTTCCTTTTTTTTTTTTTTAACTATACCAGGGTACTTTAATCAAGTGTTCAAGGTCATCCCTCAGAAGAATGGTCTACTTTATACCCTTTTCTGTGTTTGTTCGTCAGATCTAGTGACCCAAATCTGTCTTATTCTCATTACTTCTTGTCCTGTTAGATACTTTTCCATGTGACTTGTAGGAAATTCTCCCACTGGAGACGAGTGTTATGCCTGGCATATAACAGGCATTCCAAAAATGCTCAATGACTTGAACTGTGTGCCCATCTCAATATCACAGATAATTCTGGGTCTTAGTCCCGTTCTAAACTGACCTGTTCTCTGGAAAACTGAGATCAAAGTTCCTTATATCTTATTAAGAGCAAGCAGAGCATCGGGAAACTGCCTCATAAGGACATATTTAACATTATATCCCTTTTGTTGTTGACAACTGGGTGTAACAACTAGAGCTGTCAATTAATCTGAAAAAAAAAAAAAGTAAATGGATTTCAGCCCTTCCTGTTCTCAGAGAGGACTGAAATGTGAAGTGCCTGTCAGCATATATTCTGACTGTATAATTACCCTAAACCTAAGGGAGTAACTTTTCTCAAGCCCCAGGAAATTACATTCTCTACCACTGCTACTTCAGGCTGGTGAGAATGAGTTGGTCTGGAGTCTCTATTTCTGTATACCTTTTATTGTGATACATATAACCTGGTTCAGCATCAAAGTGTATAAGAAATTCCTTGCTCCTACTTTCTAGTATGCCTACAGTGAAGAATATATTAATTTATGTTTCCCTAAAATTACATTTTTATTTATGCTCGATATAGAATCTTCATTCCACTTAGGTATGTATTTCTTTGTCTGTAAGACAAAGGCTTCCCCCCACACTGAGGACCCCAGTCCCCTGGGTGGCAGCTTATACAGATTAACTTAGAGCCACCAACTCCAAGAGTGACACTTGTTGCGGAGGTGTAGTGGGCGTGAGAGCAGCTACACAACTGTTTTTCAGGAAAATGCTACGAAATCATATTTTCACAATGCTTTTAAGACTCACAGCCACAGAAGCACATCATGATTTTTTGCTTAGAAGGATTCCTTTTGTGGCAGCACAATAATTTCATTCTTCCTTGAAATCCCTAGGACTTTGTTCTTTACCACCTTCTCTACCAAGCAGTTTAGCCTGGTGGTTAAGCATGTGACCTTTAGAACCAAATTGCCTGGGTTTGAACCAGGCTCTACCATTTACTAATTGTGTGGCCATGGGTAAGTTACCTATTCTTTTCTCTGCCTCAATTTTCTTATCTGTAAGATGGACCTAATAACAGTACCTAATGAATAGGGCTTAATATGAAGACTAAATAAATAAACCTATGTAAGTGTCCTGGTGGGCTTATTAATATATGAGAAGTTCTATAGGTTTGGAGTGGGGCCCAATAAAGTTGCATTTAAACCATCTCAAAAGAGTGAATGACACAAATGGTCCCCAGATTATATTGTGGGAAAGCTCCTCTGCATCTGGTAAGGCACTGCTCTCCTCCTGCACACTCATTCATTTATCCAATGTATATTTTGAGCACCTGCTCTGAGCAAAGTATCATGCTTCGAGTTAATTCATCTAAAATGAATTAAACACTGTTTTTGCTTTTTAAGAAGTCAAAAATATAGTAAGGAAGGTGTATCACAAAAACTCTTAATTTTCAAAGAAAATACGTGAGATATACCCCATATTATTTGTAGCTATGCACAGTAGAGTGTAGAATTTGATCGATTGGGTAAAGATAAGATCTGACTGTGAACTCAGAAGAGATACAGCCAAGAATATTAAGAAAATGGATCATAAAATTTTAAGAAAATGGGCCTTGAATAAACCGTAACATCCAAAAAGTTCTCTGTAGCAGCAATGTAAGGATGTAATTAAGGAAGATTTAGGAGAATACTTATCAAAGCTGGTTCTAAATTACCTTAAGTATTTTCTTTCTCATTAAGAGTTGAACATTTATTTGTTCCCAGTTTATGACCATTAAGAACTTTCCCTCCCCTGTGTGCGTAAACTATGGCCTTAAACTCACCACCAGGAAAATCCTAGGAAACACTGTTGTATGCAACATGTAGCTGTCTAGCACAGGAGAAGGAAGCTGTTCCTGGTGCCTTTTTATAAAGATTAAATAGAATACATTTAAAACTTTCCTTCCATGATTAGACTCCCAGCTCTTTGATGGCAATCTTTAATGTCATACTTCAGTTGCAAATCACCATAAATTTCAAGTTACTGTATTTTTTTTTTTCTGTTCTCTATCCTTTGCTCTCCCCTCCCTGCCCTCAGTAGACACACACACTCACATTTGCAGGATCCAAGAAAAGGAACAAAGCTTGCTTTTCTCAGTCAATAAGGGCATCAGGCTAGCCAATGCAATTTGATACTTTCTCCTGTTAATCCTCAACACAGAACACTGTATTTCTCATCTAAGGCCTAAGAACACCTTAACTCTGATGAATGGAAA